CACAATAACACTAGTATTCTGCTAATTTCTTTATTCACATATACTACTCTGGTTGTACTATAGTATAAAAAAATCCTACACAGAAGACACTTTACATTAGTTTGTACAATACCCTTCATGATGAGGAAGCTGAACTTCATGTGTGGAAAATGGTGGTGTGCCTTTTAGACAGTGATTTGTATTAAAATTTTGAGATGCACAGAGCTGATCCTCATTAGACTGTTACCCTAAATTTCTATCTGTGCCCAGGAACTAAAACTACAATCATTGAGGAGAAGTTTATTTTGCATCTCATCCTTTTCCAGGATGTGCTCAAAACAACCAAATTCATGTCATGTTGATCTTGTAACTGCAGATTATCAGGACCAGTCTATAATCACTGCCATCTCAGAGAAGCACACAGAGGACAAATGGGACGAAGTCTTAAATCAAGCAGAAGGCCTGTGTGCAGACACATGATTTGCAAAACAGATGTCACTGTGTGAGAAAAGGCAGACCCAAACACCTAAACATCTGGAGAGTTTAAAAAGACCACACTAATACAGCATAGAAGACCTGAGAACATAATTGAGTTCATGCTGTATCTATAATTTATGTATATAAATGTACTAAACAGGCCCTCTAATATTTGGATCAAGTATTCTGTGAAACATAAGGTGTGTCAGTTTAAGTAGGTTACAGCTGTTATTGCAATGCATGGGATTCATATTAGATGCAAATAAATGCTGTTAGAAGCATATTTTTACCTGTTTACGTCTGTTGGCTTACATTGTACTCATTCATGTATGTGTCTCCAGTGATGCTTGTGGAAGTTTGGTAATGAGACAAATGTATTTTGAAAAGAACAAACTGGGGCTGATTAATCTTTGTCATGGCTGCTGCCGCAGTTTGAGTGTAGGCATAGCAAATATACAAGAGACTTGGCTGTTTTAAGGCAAGAGACAATTATATCAGGACCAGCAGGTATAGTGCACCTTCGTCATCATGGAAATAATTCAACTGAATTCAAATTTCTTTGTATAGCGTCAAATCACAGAAGGTTGTATCAAGATACTTTACAAAGTAAGGTCTTGGTCTTACCATTATTATTCATATTACTATTATTATTATAATTATTGAGGAAAAACCCAAGCACTAGGCAACAGTAGAGAGGAAAACTCCCTTTAATGGAAGAAACCTCAGACAGAGCCCAGCTCTTGGTGGGCGGCCTTCTGCCTCGACAGGTTGGGGTGAGTGGATAGAGAGAGAGAAAAGAAAAGAAAAGCAACAAGACACAACAAACATCAATCAAACACTGGACAGGTGGATATAGCTGATCACTGCTCATCAGAAACATACAGCTACAGAGCCAAGAACACTCACAGAAATGTACAGGGAGAGAGAGAGGCCACATTATGGGAGACACAAAGTTAGTGACATGTAATGGTGGCATATAGGTGCAAGGAGAGAGAGGAGCTCTACACCATGGGACAACCCAGCCTAGGCCCATAACCAATGGATGGTACACCAAACCAAATTTATCCTAGAATGCATGTCCAATAATTTCATAGACACCACTACATTGCATCCTGTTGACTGGAAACCACTGGTATGGTTAAATATACTCAAAGGCAACAGGACAGACCAGGACCCCAGTTTGCTTGCAGTTACCAAGATGGCTGTCAGTCTTACTCCTATTCAGCCACATTAGTTGTTCTGATGGCATGAAATGTCGGAAGACATATCACAACAAACGTCTTTACTGCTCCTCTTGTCTGTTCTACGATTTTTCACATCTTCTACATTTTCAAGTCTTTGAACAAATTCTACAACTATTAAAATGCCTCCAAGAGGGAAAAGAGCTAATAAATCAGAAGCGAACAAGGATGTTGAGGCGGAAGAGGATTATATTTCAGCGGCGCAAGTAACAGAGATGTTGAGTCAGCAGAAGCAGATGTACACCGCACTAATGTGCCAACAGCAAGAAAGCTTCCAAGGCTTTGTGAAATTAATTATGGAGACAAACAACAAGAGACTCGACGACATGACCAAAGAAATACAGGAGATAAAAACGAGTTTGCAGTTTACCCAGCGAGATGTGGATGTGATTAAAGCAGCCATGGGGGAGCAGGAAATACAAGCCAAAGAAACTATGCATGACGTCTACAAAACTTGTGAGAGTCTAATAACTATAACGTATAAAAATTTACATTTACTGTCTATAAATAAATCTACTTCTGCAGTTTGCAATGGATTTTTTGTTGAAAACCAAAGTAATTAGCAGAATACTAGTGTTATTGTGTGTTGTACCTGTCATAATGTAGAGTGTAATTAATACCACAGGGACATAAAAGAATTATTTTATTTGAATATGGTTCTTTTAAATTATTTCATTTCATGATGAATCACTACAATCCATTTTAATAAAACAAATTCACGTTCAATTATTTGTGCGATGCTACAAAAGTGTCCACTTTACAAATAGCTGTAGCTCTTGCTCTATAGACTTTGCTGGATTATAAACAATATCCTAAAGAGATAGCGCTGAATATACACAAATGATCATTTTAAAATTGCTTTCTTCACTGTAACTTTGGATTGCTTTTTGATTTTTAATAACTTTTTCACAGATACTCTGATTTCTTGTGTCTGCAGAACATAAATGATTGGATTCAACATGGGAGGAATGACAGTGGACAGAGACATGTTTATGAGTCTGGTATTTGCATCTATATATGCATTCAAAGCAAATGTGAACATTAGAGGAAGAAAATAGATTGCCACCAGTGAAAGATGAGATGTGCAGGTTTTAAAGGCCTTCACTCTTTCTCTAACTGCAGCTACTTTAGACAATGCATAGCCAATATATGAATAACATGAAATAATAAATACCAGTGGGAGCCAAAGAATAAGTACTGATAGAGAGTGTCCAGTGAACAAGGTGAGTGCATTTTCATTGCAGGCTAGTTTGTGCACCAAGGCATAGTCACAGACATAACTGTTAATAACCACAGATTTGCAATAGGAAAGTGTTGTTAGAGGGACAACTGCAATGAGTAGAAAAGTACTGACAATGAGCCAGAAAGAGGCAATCAAAGAAAACATGAACCTACATGTCACCATTAGTTGATAGTGCAGTGGGAAGATGATGGCTATCAGTCTGTCATAGGCAAGTGCAACCAGATTAAAAGGCTCCATTGCAAGGCAGGCGTAACAGAAAAACATGAATGTAAAACAGTCATCATAGGGAATGTAACGATGGTCAAACTGAAAGATGTCAAATACTTTTGGCACCATAGCAGAGCTACCAAACAGGTCTGCAAATGCTAAATTAAACACTGCAATATATTTTGGAGTTCTTAGCTTATGATCCAAGCATATTATTCCCATCACAGCTGTATTTCCCAGCACTGAAACAATGTAAACAAAAAAGAGAAAGACATAATAATACTTCATATCAGGTATGTCAATAAATCCACTTATTATAAAATAAGCAGGATGCACAAAGGTGATGTTTTTCTCAAGATCTGGGTTGAGTAACTCCATAGTAAAACTGTCCACAACACAGTGATTTATAGAAAGAGGTGTCCTCCTCTGCGTGACTGTGTAGTCTTATGTACAGTAGATGGAGGTGAAGACATCTCTCTCCTTCTGGTGGCAGAGCTCTGTCGATCTTTACCTTTATTAAGGGAGGGCTACCACGAGAAGTAGCCCTCCTCTGCATTTCTGTTAAATAAGGTCAGTGTCAGCTCCCCTGTGTCTATCGTTTCTAAGCCCATCAGCAACTTTCAAAATGTTACTGCAGCAGAATGATGGGTCACATTAACA